TAAATATAATGTAATTTGTTCAGATCCATCTCAGCAATATCCAGCAACGCTTCTGATGACTGCTGATCATGATGACAGAGTTGTGCCGTTGCATTCACTGAAATTCATCGCAGAATTACAGCATCGAGCTGGCAAATCACCGTTTCAAACAAACCCGTTGATGATCCGTATAGAGACAAAAGCTGGACATGGAGCAGGAAAGCCTACATCCAAAGTTGTAAGTATATAAATCCAATATTGACAATATTCCGTGTTATGTTTTGACTACCATGTATTAAATGTTTGCCAATTTATTTAATCCTATTAAATCTATCATTTTATCATTTGTATGATCTGTAAGTTTCTTGGTTTTGTCTCCAAGTTCTGTGTAAGATCTGAATGTCGATAGTTTAGACTATTTTATAAAACATTCATTACGACTCACTCTTCTACAAAATCGAAAGAATATTAAAAACTATATAAATAATAGACAAAATATGTACAAATAAAAATTATTTATGTTTCAGATTGATGAAGTGACTGACTACCTTGCATTCATCTCAAAGAGTTTGTCGCTGAAATTCATTGAATAAAATTAAACGCAAACCTGTTTTTTAAAGATTAAATTTGTACCTTTTATGTTGCCATGTGTATCTAAAGTGATTTGTATTTTATATATTTTTTCATTTGATACTTATAATTACCATGATTAATAATACAAATAAATTAATAAATTTTGTATGAACGTATTGTCTTATGCATTTGAGAACGCTATAGGAACATTTCATTCTACTTAAAAGACCATTTGCGAAATCTAAACCAACTAAAAGCATAAGAACATTGTTTGCCATTTTTTAGAACATAAAGATGTGGAAATGAAGATAAGTTTGCCAGGAAGAAAAGTTCCTACTAACTGGGCAACCAGTAATCACAATTTTTTATTCAGGTGTTTGAAATAAATGTATAAAACACCTGGCGCATGGGTATTTTATGAAAAATACTGTAGGATATAAATGTAAATAATAAACGTAATATATTTTTTAAATAGCTTATTGATATTTTATTAAAATATTACAGTAGATTGTCTCTTGATAGATGATCTCTATTTCAAATACAGAATCAGATTCAAACTCTGAATTTGGACGACATGAACCCATCTCTGAACTTTCCAGAACAGAATTTTCTCTGAGCCCTCTTCTTGCTGTGAACTCTAAAAACCTGTACTATATAATAGACCTCAAAAACAAACAACTAATCACAAACTTTAAAACATTACCTCTCTACAAAGTAGAAACTAATTTGCTTAACAAAGACCCCCTAATCAAATTAAAATAGATCCCAGATCCGAGCAAATATTCAAGTTAACATGTCATCTGTCGAATACAGATGCAATTTTGCACAAAAAAGAAAAAGATAAAGTCCATATCCCCAACTCGTTAGTACACGTAAATGAAAAAGGAGAATTTCGGACATCTGTAGGAAATGCAAAGGCAATTCCCAAAATTATCGATTTTTCCGATATCGTAATTGAACCCTATTCAAACTACCCTATCCTAAATTTCCAGTCAAACGATAACTTGGTAAATTATTGTTCTGATAAAATTGACCGTACCAACAGAATCAAATCTCGACTTCGAACAGAACATCTTAACGAGGAAGAACAAGAACTAGTTACAAATCTTTGCTTAAATTATGAAGACATATTTTACTTAGAGGGAGACAACTTCACTTTCACCAGTGAAATTAAACATCAAATTGAGACCAATAACGTCAAACCCTTTTTACGAAATCATACAGATATCCTCAGGTCCACAAAGAGGAAGTAAAATCTCAAGTGAATAAGTTATAGATAGACATTATAGTATACCCTCCTACCATTCACGAGCACATTTCCCGTCTTACTGAAGTCTTCAAACGTCTTCGAAAGGTTAATCTTAAAATTCAGCCTAATAAATGTGAATTTCTCAGGAAGGAGGTGGCGTATCTCGGACATCTCATTACCCAAAATGGCGTCAAGCCTAACCCTTCAAAAGTCGATTGTATCCAATGATTTCCTGAACCGAAAACACCAAAACAAATAAAATCTTTCCTAGGTCTAGCTGGTTACTATCGTCGTTTTATCCCAAATTTTGCCAAACTCTCCAAACCTCTCACTAGACTGCTCCAAAAAGACGTTGCTTTTAATTTTGATCCAAATTGCAGGCAAACTTTTGAATATTTGAAAAACGCTTTAATTTCTGACCCGATTCTAATTTATCCAAACTTTAACTAACCATTTGTTCTCACAACAGATGCAAGTGCATTCGCCATCGGCGCTATATTATCCCAAGGCCCCATTGGAAAAGATCTACCTATAGCATATGCTTTACGTACCCTGTGTAATGCTGAAACACGATATTCGACCATTGAGCGAGAGCTCCTTGCCATCGTATGGGCTGTAAAACATTTCCGACCCTCTGTTCGAAAGAAAATTTACCCTAGTAACTGACCACCGTCCACTTACCTGGTTATTTTCTATAAAAAACCGTGGAAGCAGACTAGCTAGATGGCGCCTCAAGCTTGAGGAGTACAATTATAAAATTATTCATAAACCGAGAAAAACCAACTTCTGAAACGACAAGAACGCCTTTCCCGAACATGCCAGACTTCCGTAGTATTCGCCAAAGATTACAACGTCCAGAAGGTCAACATGAACCTGTGGTTCATAACAGTTTCTGACCCACTGCCTATTATCATCAAATGTGAGTCCAGAGACGTCAAATCGGAAATCATCCACACCAACCATGTACTTAAACTACAACCCACGTGCATTGCCTTTATTGGTAGTATAAGAGTACACTCTCAGAAATTAATCGACGTTCATGACAATGTTACTTACAGAAGTCACCCAGTCCAAATACCATTCAACTGCTGCAACCACTTCCCAGATAAGATCCATCTTCCCGACTTAAAACCACTGAAGCTTAGCAAGATCAATACTGAAGAACTCGAGATAGCTTATCACAAGCTCAATCAGTATTCTGAAGAACTCGACAAACTAATCAATGAACCATTCGTCAAGAAACATCTGAGGTGGTTCACGGTCTTAACAATAGTCGTCATTGTGACTCTCGTTGTTCTTTATGCCATATGTAAATGCAGATCCAAGAGAAGATAAAAGATAGGAATTGGCAATGACAATGACCATCCGCCCTCTCCACCAAGACACCCAGAGACAGCCTTCGCCAAGAATTGGAGGAAGATCCTTCCAAGACGAAGACCCAGTATCCACCTAAGCGACTCCATAGACGAAGAAGAGCAAATCCAACTGAATATCAACAAACATACAGTCTAAAAGTTGAAAATATAGGTTTTTAAGTAGTAATTATTATTATTATACATAGGCGAGGGCAGAGGAACTAAGTCCCTATTATGCCCAAAAACAAAGAAATTTCATTTATCACCTACTAGTAAATAACAAAATTACAAATAAAAGAAATAAAATTACAATTTTTTCCTTTAAAACAAAAACAATATTTTAACTATAATATAAAACGGTCAAGTCTGTTTTTGAATGAGTTGGTAGAGGAAGCGGAAACAATGTTATCGTTAAGGTTATTCCAGCACTCAAAAACTCTATTTGGAAGAAAGTTCTGTCTTGATCTTTTCTAAAGAAAAGAGGTCTAAAGAAAAAATTTTCTTTCTTTAGTTTATACTGATGACCTCTGAGGCGTTCATCTTGATTTATGATAAATATTTCATCGAGGTTTCCAAAATTGAATTTTAGTATTTTAAATGTTGTAATTAAGTGTCCACGTTGTCGGCGAAGTTCAAAAGTAGTTAGGTTAGCCATACTAAGTCTTTCTGCATAAGAAGGTCTTCTCGGTCCCAAAGAAATTCGGGTGGCTGTTCTTTGAACGTTTTCCAACAAAGTCTTGTCTCGGACCAGATCAGGATACCACGTTGGTCCAGCGTATTCAAGTATGGGTCTTACGTACAGAGTGTAAAGCTTACAGAATGATTGCATTGAAACTCTCGAAAAACACCTCCGAATAAGATACAGTATGGAGTTTGCACGTTTACAAATAGAGGTAGTATGGTCGGACGCCAGATTCGTTTCTTAATTGTTATTAATAAAGCCTCTGTGATTAAAAAAAAATATGCTAAATCGGCTCCTATTGGTCGTAGAAAACTCTTTTTTTTTTAATCTTCGTCTCGAAGCCAGCTACAATCATCTGCAAATTAGAAATTTGTAGGGTACATAGGGGGCGCTGCAGCTCTAAATGTTTACAACTGTAATTTTACAACTTCATAAATAATTGTTTTTAACGGGTTAAATTTTTTTTTCCATTATTTTCCAGTGGATTATGAAAACTTACGGCTTTAGGAAGAGAATGAAACAATAATTAGCCCTCTACCATTTTTTTTGCAATCCTATGAGCATTCAAAGTTGAAGGTTGTGGGATAAACTAACAACGTATCTCAGCAACAAATTAAGTGATCTAGGCCTACTACGGCTCATTAGATTTGTAATTTTATAGGCTTGAATGTCATATATTTGAAATAAATAATAAAAATGCAATTTTGCAATAAATATTACGTTTTTTAATTTTGACCTTCATTCGTCATTTTTGCAATAACAAATTAATTAAATTGAACGTATATCGGCTCAACTTGAAGGTATTTTAGAGTACTTTCATAATCTATACAGATATTACCCATATCAACACAATTTACCCACTTTAGGCAAGAATTAAAAAAACTCAAAAAATACGTACTATTTTGCACCTATAAACGCTCATAAATAAACAATAACCAACAATTTTTTGTTGAATAAACTGGGGCATTGCTCTTTATAACTTATAACACTATAAATGTTTGGTTGGCATTTCTTTGTTCTCTGGTAAAAAAAAAACAAGTCATTGTGGTAGATTTGTATATTACCTATAACAATTTTATAAAAATATTATGTCAGACAAATTACGAATAAATTTTCCACACATATTTAGTGGATACAAACGCACATTCAAATAATAAATATACATATATCACAGTTAACACTTGTAGGAAACATTTATAACAAGGAGGTGATCAAATTATTAGAGCTCTCAGACAAAATGAACATTCTAAATATTCTACTTTTGTCCTAACTTTTAGACTTTTTTCGCCAAAAACCTCTCTACACCTTTGCAGTATTTTTTTTCTGTATATATTAGAATATAAAACCACAGGAAAAACATACATTTAAGAAAGATGCCATGATGTTGGGATGAAAGTGGTGCTGTTTTACTCGATATATGATGACTCATAATTGAATGCCGATTAATATGGCTACTTTCGTGTTACACTGTTATCTGATCCAGCACCAACGATAATAAATAAGGTCTAAGCACCATGCACCGACGCAATTCTACTTTTACATGAAACTCATCAGTCTTCTATTCATTTCTAACTCAAAAGAGCTTGACCAGTAATACACGTTTCATGTAAGAGAACGAAAAGCACTTTATAAAGTGTGACAAGAAAAATATATACCAATATATATTTCATCTGTATTATTTTATCAATAATAATTTGATCACCCACTGTACAATTTAATATTTAGTACTGCTATAACACATTTGTTAAACAGTGGTCCCAATTAGTCACTTCAGCGAAGTAGTTCGTGTAACAACACTTTTCATTGATCCCCTGGCTGACATGTGACGAAGGCTGTAGCTGCTAGTTCGTTCGTGCATTCTTCTTTTCTCATACTTTAAGCACAAAGCTTGGACAAAACTTTCTCGGAAGCTCTTTGACATGAATCCGTAAATAATGGGATTTATGCAACTGTAACAAAAAAAAAACAACAGTAAGAGAGAAAGTAGAAATTTTTGGAATACAATTTTAACTTAAGAGTATCTATATTCGACAGATACTTTTTTACGTTAAAAGAACATTGGTACAAAATAAAGAAATATTCTTTCCAATTTTAATTTTCTTCGACTTCTTTTTGTTTTTTTTTTGTTGAAAAGTGGTAATGTGAAATCTAAAAAGTTAAATAAGATAAAACATTTAAGTTGTTAATTCTTCGGTACCAAAATGGCTGTTGGGCTGTGTATCGATGATCAAAAATAAATATTCTAAAGACAAACAATATAATGAAAATATAATGAAAATTTGGAAAGGTATTTTAAAAATTTATTAAAAGCAGAAGATTTATTTTTGGGTTTCTAAGATATCCATAATTGATTCACTATATGTGCATATTGATTCGTCTCAATTTGACAGCACTCATGTTAATCTCAGGGAATTGTTGGTATTACAATTCTATATTGTATATTTGTATGTGTTTAGTGTTGGCACCACCTGTTAGTGACACAAGTGTCACCGTCAACAAGTGGAACCTAAACTAAATCAAATACGTAGCAAAAGAAATTATATGTGCATTGGAAAATAGTTACGAAAAGAAGGGAACTTCGACGCAGGTTCCACTGCAGCAGAAATGCAGGTCATTGAAATACAAAACAGGGTCTTTAAATATGTTTTTAACAGAATTCAATCAAACTATGTGTAAACTTAAAAGTGCAGGAAGTCAAGTACAAAATAGTAAAGTTGTATCATAGTTAATCTCTGCAATGCCTGAAGCATATAAAGCAGTTAGTACAGCAATTCATATTACGTTTTGTCAAAATGAAACTATAGTTACATTAGACTTTGTTAAAAACAAGCTACTAATGGAAGGCACAAGGCAATAAACATGATTCTCAAACCAATCCTGCTTAGCATTTGTAGCAAATAAACAGCCATGGAATAAATGGAAGAATAAAGCTGGAAGAGGTAATGGTAATGTACCATTGAGAGAGAGAGCTGGAAGAGTTAATGGACATAACTGTCGAAAAATGGGGCACAAGCGCTGACAGTGTTAGAAAAATAAAAATCTAAATAGGGCATTCCCAGCAGAAAATGGTGAAAAAGTAACATTTTCGACTTCAGAGGAACCACCTTAGTTAGCAACTCAGAATCTGGTGAAATAAATTTCATAATAGCCAGTGGTTCTACAAATCACTTAGTTATAAACGATGTTGAAAGCGGTTAAGATAATATCCAGGAAGTAATGTATAACATAAATGTAGCAATGAAGGGTCAACCATTGGAGGCAATAAAACCAGGTGATTTGAATCGACAAGCAGTAAATGGTAACCAACTTGAGATGAAAAATTTATGGGCATATAATCAACTTTCGTATAATTATTAGTATAATTATATTTCTTCTTCAAATTATATTTAAAGATAAACAAGTCAACAAGATGAAAGAAAATCATGCTGTGATAACTGGTGACTTAAGAAATAACTTGTATATTGTTATATTAAGATGAAGACATATACCAGAAGCACAAATTACAGCTGTTGAACGTAATGTGGTAATGCATAGGAAAATGGGTCACTCTGCAAAGTATCTCATATCTGCTATGTGTGAAATCTGTTTAATAGGAAAACAATCACGATTATCGTTTCACAGCATTGACGCTGAAGGAAAAGCAAAAAGAATTTTAGAAGTTGTATCAACAGATGTGTGTGGTCGTATAAGTAGATCCAGTAACTCATGATAATCGGTCGTAAAAATTAAAATTTATTTTGTTAATTTTATAGACTATGACACATTTTTGTATTGTTATTTGATTGAGAGAAAGTCTGAAGTAATAGATAAATATAAAGAATATATTTATATGATCATATGTTGGGCTGCAACAGAAAGATGCGCTGGAATGTCTCCTTTTCAACATAGCTTTGGAAAAAGCGGTCAGGTATGCCCAAATAGACAACAGAGGAAACATTTTTAATAAATCATCCCAAATTTTGGCATATGCAAAAGATATTGACCTAGTTGCCCGCACAACACATAAGCTAGAAGAAATGTATACCACTTTATCAAATGCCTCAAAAAATATGGGCCTGCAAGTAAATGAGAAGAACACTAAGATAATGGCATCAACACCCAACAATAGAGCCAGAAACATCGGCCACCAATTCACGGTTGATAACCACCTTTGAAGTGATGGACAAATTCACATACTTAGGTCCCTGATCACCAAGGAGAACGTCATGACGGAAGAAATCAAGCGAAGAATAATCCTAGCAAACAAATGCTATTTTGGATTAAGTAGACATATGAGAAGCAGAAACTTAAGCCATAAAACAAAAATAACCATATACAAAACCCTTATACAGCCAGTGTTGACATATGCCAATCGGAGAGATGGATCATTTCCAAGGCAGATGAAAACCTACTGCTTATATTTGAACGAATGATTCTGAAAAGAATATTCTGTGGCATCTGTGAAATTGGTGTTTATAGAAGGAGATGTAACTACGAAATATAACACATATATAAACATATATATTTGGTGGTAAAGACGTAGTATCTCTTATAAAACTAGGAAGACTAAGATGGGCAGGACATCTGGCAAAATCACAGCAGAACAACCCTTCTAGAAAAATCCTTATGTCACAACCTGTGGGAAGTAGAAGTAAGGGTAGGCCAAAAGACTTGGGAAGGTCGAGGCTCTTTTATAGGCCTGTAGCACTAATGATGATGATGATTGATATGGTCACTATTAATTTAATGCAAAAATTAAACGGATACGGTGAGATAATAGAGGTAAATACTCCTCAAAAGCTTTTAAAAGATTATGTTCAAATAATGGAATCAAAATTAAGTATACAGTACCTAGGAATCCAGAACAGAATGGTGTTTCTGAACGCTTCAACAGAACCGTTATGGAAAAGGCAAGATGTATAATTTTTTATTCAAATTTAGATAAAAGGAGGTGGGATGAAGCTGTGAGAGTATCAGCATATCTACTTAATTAATACAACTGAAACTCGAACTTTGTTAACAAAACACCCGCTGAAATTTGGTATGGTGAAATGCCAAATAGGAAAAAGATAAAATTATTTGGTTGTAATGCTTACAATTTAATTCCTAAAGAGAATAGGAAATCTAACCTTGATCCTCATACTGAAAAGCTGGTTATGTTGGGTTTTTCAGATAATGGCTACAGACTATGGAATCCAGAAGAAAGAGAACTAATCTAAGAACAGAATATAATTTTTGATGAAAATTAAATTGAAAATGATAAAATTAGACTTACTGAGAATGAACAAATTGTTCAAATTCCAAACGAAAATAGGGTGAAAAATATTCCTGAAATAATCACTCAACAAGAAAATTTACACGAAGAAGTTGTTGAAAAAATTAATAAAAATAGAAGTACACGAAATAAAAAGAGACCAACATAGCTTGAAGACTATGACTGTCTTCAAGATTTGTGTCAATTATTGACAAGTTTTTGTGTGTCATATTTTAGTCAGTTTCAAACTAATTACACTGAAGAACATAGGAAACATTTGAAAAATGTTTTGATATACTTGAAACCTACAGAAAATCATGTCTTAAGATTTGTTAAAGGTAGAAACAAAGAAATAATGATAGTATCCTATGTTGATGCAGATTTTGCAAACAATTTTGTCATTTTGACAGAAAAAGTATTAGTGCTTAACAATAATGTTATTTGTTTTGGAAAACTAAGAAGCAAAATGTAGTGCCACTAGCTAGTGCAGAAGCCGAATATATATAGAAAACCAAACGAGGAAAAATCTAAGTCTATGGAGATGAGTAACATAAAGCAGTCATATAAAAGAGCACAGTATTGAATAAACTAATAATTATATATCTCACCTGTTAAAGTACGCCATTAGGGAGAAAGCATTGGACATATATTTTAGTGTTCCAAACTTCATAAACGGCAGGACGCCGTAGGCTGTCAGAACATTATCGATCAACATTGGAGTCCAGCAGACTGCAAAGAGTACTACCACTGTAACTAACATGCATATTACTTGTTTTACCATAGTAGTGTCATCTCTGGCATTTTTGGCTCTTTTGACTGAGTTCATGTGGAGAGTTTCGATCAATTTTGCATTTTGGCATATATGTTTTTCCGATGAACGGTTTAGTCTGAAAAATACATAAATGGTTGTACGATAACTATGATAACTCAAACACAAAAGGTTGTTAGTTATTTGTTTTAAAGAATAATTTCCTTCTAAAATAAAAAAATGCATCTTAAAGTATTCTCCGGTTGTCCCACAAATGATGGCTGTTTTCTTTTAGAGAATTGGTGTTTTTCTTGAACATTACTAAAATACTCATATACTGCGATATTGTTAAGTTTCTACTATTGTCCTGATGATGGGGCATATATTGTAAACCCCGAAATTGGTCACCCCCTTGTTTCCAACAATAAAAATTGTATTTGAATTGTGAGTCTTGTTTCTACTTTTGCCAACATATAGTCAATATGAACTTACATCAGCAACTCTTTGAACATTTCAATAATTGTTTACTTACTCGCCAGTCATAGCAGACCTCCTTTCCATAACTTTGGAAATTTCCCAAGAAATAAGTCCATATGAAAAGGCCATTATGAAAAACGGTACCACCAGTATGATGACGAACATATATAATTCGTGGAACTTGTGTATTTCCGGGTTGTCGTTCCAGCCTCTAACACAGTAATTGGACTCATTTCGTTTGCCAACTGGTAAATGTAGCTAAAATACATTAATATGTTGGTTAAAATGTAAGAAAATAAAAACATATAGAAAAGAAATACATTTCTTTTTACCAATTCGACTTGGACATTGTTTCCATTAGGGATTCTTTAATCCAAGTTTCATACTTATCCAGTTCCAACGTCTGACTCTCTAGTTATATTGTGGAAAGGAAACAAGTTCAAAACACTAAGGTAGATGAAAATTCGCCTTGAGAATGAGTTTAATCTTGGTAGATATTTATGGGTACGTTGATGGTTCAATAAAAGTTGTATCAGATATTGACAAAGCAAAAGATGAAAGAGCATTATTAAAAATATGTCTTAGCATCCAACCAACTTTCTATGTTTATGTCCATAAATTCTAAATGTAGCAAAAATGTATGGGATAACCTTAAAAAAGCTTTTGAAGGTAACAGTATGGCCACAAAACAAACTCATACGAAAATTCTTCAATATAAGTCAAAGTTCCTATTCATTAATGGAAGAATATTTGTTTTATTGCTGCACTATATTAGCAATTAACTGATAAATCAAGATCTAAGGAAGTGCAACATGCTTTACTTGGAAAAAATGAAAGACGAAGAATGAAGGAAGAAACACCACAAATGACAGCTCTTCTATCTCAAAACAAAACTTTCAATAAATAATATAATCAGCATAAAGTAACCAATAAATTTGCATGTGATTCTAATAATAAAAAACCATTGCCCAAAATTATATCGAGATTCTGCTTCAAATTTTTACCAAAAGAAAAAGCAAAAAAATATAGTTTAAAAAATGTAAATAAGAACGAGACTATGTTTTAACTAGAGCAATGATGACATCTATTTCCCTTTCGTCTTGTATAGTTGAAAGTGGTGCTACTTCCCATATGGCCTGTAATGAGACTGTTTGACATATTCGATTAAAACAACTCATCCTCATCATCACTGGCTCGACAACCCTTTTTGGTTCTTGGCCTGTTCCAGGATTCTTCTCCATTCTGATCTGTTTCGTGCTTTTTTTCTCCAGTTTTTTATTTTTAAGGTTATATCATTTTCTATTTGTTCTAAGTATCTCAGCTTTGATCTTTCTCTTGTTCTTTTTCCTACTAGCATCTGTTTCAATATTTTGTTTGGTATTTTGCCTTCTTCCATTCTTTCTACATATCCTATCCAACGCAGCCGTCCTATTTTAATGAATGTTATAATATCCGGATCCTGGTATATTTCGTATAGTTCAAGGTTGTATCTTCTTCGCCATATTCCGTTTTCTTTTGTGCCCTTATATATGTGTCGCAAGATTTTTCTTTCGAAGGTGGCTAACAACGTTTCCTCTCTTTTAGTGAGTGTCCAGGTTTCTGAGCTGTATGTGAGTACTGGTCTTATTAAGGTTTTGATTAAAACCACTACAAATGTTTTATATGTACCCAAATCGTCAGCTAAATTGTTGGAAAATGACAGACAAAGGTTATGCTATTGTTTTTGATAGAGATGCATGCGTAGTATATGCTAGCTCTGATTTTTCAGTACGGGGTGAAACTATATTTTCATGTAATAAAAAAGACTGTTTGTACGATATTCACAATTTGAAAGAAGAATCGAAAAGGGCTTGTTATCAGACCAAGAATTGTGACATCAAAAACTGGGTCATTTCAATCGTAAATTAAGATCGAATTTGGTTGATAAACCAAAACAGATATGTGTTACTTATCTAGAAGAAAAGCAAACAGTGAAACATTTTCCAAAAAGGGGTAAACAGGCAAAGGATCTTTTACGTATCGTCCACAGTGACCTGTAAAGCCCGTTTAATGTGTTAATAATCATGGGGAGGTGCTGCCCATTGTCTTATTGTCGTTGATGATTATTCCAGAAAGATTTTTGGGTACATGATAAAATACAAGAGTGAAATTTTCTTAAAATTTCGATTATTTAAAAGTGTGGTGGAAAATCAAACCGGGAAAACTATAAAATGTCTTAGATGGCGTGGGTAATTACACTTCCAGGGAAATGGAACATTGTCTTAAATAAAATGATATTATTCACCAGTTCACTATCCTATAAACCTTAACAAAATCGGGTGACAGGGGTAGGGTGACTCTGATCTTCTTCTTTAAGTGCCATCTCCCAATCGGAGGTTGGATATCATCATCACTATCTTTACTTTATCTACTGCTGCTCTAAAGGGTTCTATAGAACTGCATTTAAATCAGTCCCTTAAATTCTTCAATCATGACACTCTCCTTCTTCCTATACTCCTTCCTCCTCTTATCTTTCCCTGTATTATCAGCTTTAGCAGTTCATATCGCTGTCCCCTCATTACGTGTCCCAGATATTGTAAGTGATAGAGATATTTAAAGTAGGACAAGATAACCATGAATTAACATCATACAGGCCAATCTCCTTACTATCTATAATCTCAAAGGTGTTTGAAAAATTGCGACTACGAAGCATGAACCATATAATTGAAAAAAACCATATTATTCTGATACACCAATTTAGATTTCGTGTAATATGCACAGTTGGCCAGCTCCATGGAATAATAACTGAAATAGAAAAAGCATTGGAAGGGGACACAATTTATTCAGCAGTATCCCAGGATATCACAAAATCACTTGACAAAGTATGGCAAGATGTCCTGTTAACGAAGCTAAAGAAAACATATACTACGCAACTCGTTGAAATATTGTAGTCATACCTACACCAGTGAACATTTAGAGTTAAATGGATAACGAGTTCTCAAATCTTTTTTATATATCTGACATATAGTTTGATGAACAGAAATCATTCATATTAACTTTACTAACAAGAAAATAGGGGTTCAATGGAGTAGTGATGCGCAATATAAGGTGTTGCTTCGTGATAACACCTCTAGCCACTCATACTCAATTCCTATCCTCACCTTCAAGAAGTGTGACTTAATCACACGGGTGGACCCTGGCAAACCTGAGCAACCATACCGGAGTTTGTTTAACCAACCCTAGTGGAAAGTAGGGTTAGGGCCGACGAGGAAGGGAGAAATGGTCCTCCGAAAAGCACAGCCTTCATGAGGTATAACATGATAATGGCATCAGACTAATAAATTTAGCAGATTTAAATTTAGATCAGATCTTCGTCTTGAGGCAAATTTTGGAAAAGACTAGTGAATTTAATATAGACACACATCATTTTTTCATTGATGTTGAGAGTGCCTATGATAGCATCCAACGAGAATTTCTGATCCATGCACTGAAAGAGTTTAATATTTCAACTTAACTCATTGATATAGTAAAAGAAACACTTAAAGTACAAAGCAAAATTCGAATTCAAAACGCACTAACGGATACAATCCATGTGAAAATGGGCCTACGACAGGAAGATGCCCTATCCTGTATTCTATTCAACATCACATTAGAGAAAATAATTAGAGAGTCAAAAGTCAACACCAGAGGAACAATAATAACAAAAAGTGTACAAATATTGGCATTTGCAGATGATGTTGATATCATAACTAGAAGCGAAAGAGAGATGATGGAAGCATTTAATGCGATAGAAAGAGTGGCACAAAACAGTGGCCTAAACATTAACGAAATAAAAACCAAATTCATGAAGGCCAGCAAATCGACAGACCAAAAAAACCTACAGAATTTGACAATAGGAAACTATAACATCGAAAGAGAATATTTCGCTAATAAAACATATAATGGACATAATTAGCTAATAAGAAAAACAAAATGCAAAATATACAAAACCCTGATAAAATTGTTCCTTGTATATGGATCAGAGACATGGACACTGTCGAAAAGCGATGAGAACCTATTAGGTATGTTTGAACGAAAAATCCTTAGATACATATATAGAGGGGTGAAAGAAAATGGCATATGGTGCAGAAGATATAATTTTGAATTATACACAACATACAATGAATCCGAGGTCATAACATCCATAAAGATCGGACGTCTGCGCTGGATGGGCCATGTTGAACGGATGTTGGAGACTGAAGCATCAAAACATATAATGATGCAAACACCAGTAGGGATAAGGTCAAAGGGAAGACCTAAACTTAGATACATTGAACAAGTAGAACAAGATCTGAAAACACTTAAGATTACCAACTGGAAAAATAAAGCAAGGAACAGCAAGGGTTGTCGAGCTATCAAATCAATCATCTCCAATTATCTTACACAACAGCATTGTACCTGAGTTTAAATCTGGACGTCAAACTCAAATGGAAGGAGTATGTTAAAAAGAAAACTGAACAGTTGAAGATAAAGTACAAAAATATGTATTGGCTGATAGGTAGGTACTTTCAACTTTCCATCTAGAACAAAGTACTGATTTACAAACAGATATTAAAACCTATCTGGACCGATGTGGACCTATGGCCTACAATTATGTGGCTGTACCAAAAAAAGCAATTATAGAAATTTAGAAACGCTGTACAACCGAATACTAAGGAATATTGTAAGTGCTCCTTGGTATGTTCAGAATGACGGTTTACGTAGAGATCTTAAAGTCGAATCTATTCCAAATGCAATTAAAAAAGTCGTCAGGAGACATGAAGAGAGGCTCCATAAGCATCCCAACCATGAAGTACTTCAGCTTCTTGTTAACCAACCCCAGGTGCGAAGGCTCAAGAGGACTAAACCATTTGAGCTTAGGTAATGTGTCAAGCAGTTAGTGAAAAGCAGAGTCAGTGCTGTGCTGTATAGTCACAACAAAGAAATGGACATTTTATGTCAAAAAAAGCTAGGAAGGACCAGGTGACATCTAGTTTACAGACAATCCTAGAAAAACTAGGTTAAAGAAAAATGCTGATTAATCTTGTAGATTAAGTGTATTCTTATTTCTTAAAATAAAAAAAATCATATGCCAAAATGAGAGACTTAGGTTAATATACACTAGGCATATTTAACTATTGAGATAAGAATAATTAACTGCCGCGTTCTTAAGTCAAAGTTACCTATGTTAAGAGTTATGAAAGAAATAGGAGAATAAAGCCAAAGAAGACAAGGTGTTACCCGGTTAGGAGATTAATATTGATGCGACTCTCATCCAAAAGAGAAAATTAAATAAAATAATGCTAATTCCTCATCTATAACTTACCTGTGCCTTCAGAGTAGGTGCTCCGAGAAATATGGCCAAAATCCAGATTAATAAAATGATTTTTTTCGCTTGACTGATAGTGCAAACGTACTTGGCTTTCATGGGATGTACAATTGCATAATACCTACAAAAACAAAAAGAAAAATAAGTACTATAAAAATATACACGAGCTGGCGTTTATGCGAAATTGCAGTTCTGAACATGTAGCGGATATGACTTGATAACCTTTGAGAATCCAATTTTTTTTGGTAAAGTATGAATGAAAATAGTTGTTGCTAACTAGGTAATCAGTGATTTGTTTTTACGTCAAAGATATACATTACAATGTTTGTCAATATTAAATCTATTTTTACCGATTTCGAATAATAAGTAAATGCATGTGATATTTCTGAAATTTCATTTTACCTTTCTTTGATATCTTTACTCCTGCTTTTTTCTTTTTTTATTTATTAGTCCTTCTTTCACTTTTATTTTTTCCATGCTAGGATTCATGTTCAAATAAAACTTATACCAAATAAACAACTTTTGTAATAATAAAAAAAAATCATAGGATATGGATGTCAGAACACCTAGATCACAAAATAATCGATATTGATTACTTTAGTACAGATAAAAATTAAACTATGCCTTTAATAACCCCACGATTTTAAATCTGTTTCCCCGGGAAGCTTTCACCCCGTGCTAAGAGTTATCTTAAAGTTAAAACTATAACATAAAGGAAACAAAGTGACAAAGCAGAAGATGACGAGAACATAAATAAGTTCAAAAAAAAAAGAAATGAGTAGTCTCTTTTTTCTAAGATTGTAGAAGAACTGCAAGAGTAACTTGTGTGTTTAGCTATGTTTAGGCACATTTCCCTTAAAAAAAAATAAAACAAGTAAATTGCCCAAAACAAAAATTAAGATACACAGACAACAAATCTCCGATTTGTTGTCTGTGTATCTGTGTATTATAAAAACATCTTTTAGTGCGTATTTTTAATTTTCATGTATACTTGCTTCTTCTAAGCCTTTATCTAATCCTTTTTCTTTTCTTTTGCTATTGTTCTCCCATTTGGATACAAACACCTAGGTTGTGAATTACAGTAGATGATGATGGGCGGCCTTTGACTATGTCCAGTTATAAAAAATTTTTGAATGACGATTTACACTTTTGAAGTTAATTGCTGAACATTAAAGTCACCTTTATATTCCGATTCTGGCCTCGGCAAGCATCGCTATACAAAATTAGATATTCGGTTGGGTTAGGTAAGTTCGTCTCAAGATAGTTTATTAAATGGTAGATGGTGGATTAAAGATGACGCTATCTCATGAGTTTCTCGAGATGCCTCATTTTTATGCCAGACTTACATGTGTTCTGTTTTTGTGACTTCATCATGGATGTCCAAATTATACGTCCACAGGTGTCTCTTATAATAAACTACACCTTATTTACTTTACAAAAAACAATTGAAAGTACACTATTGAACTAACATTGAGAGGTAGGAAAAGGAACGAATATATCCGAAGAAAGACAACGATAGAAGAAAAGAAAAAAAATCACAGGTGAACAACAAAGATTATAAAATAAAGACTAAGGGATAACAAGAGGAATTCAAGACCATTACCTCCTAGATGAACAAATATAGAAGTATAGCTTTTCTGGGAGATTTATTTTGCACATTTCTACTAGCACAAAAGAGAAAAAACAATAATTATGAAATTTTTATTCATTCATGATCATTATAGTTGATGAATACCACTGGATTTGCTTGCTTTTATACACATTTGCACATGTCTAATGACATCCGATAAGCTTGGCTTGGCAACAGAGACCAAAAGGACGTTCTGCACCTAACAGCTTTTCTGGTAGATTTATTTTGTTTATTTTTTATCTCTAATTATCCAAGATTAATTTTATTCTAATTACTTACCTTTCTATACTAATTGCAGTTAATGTCAATACGGAACATATGGCGGAAACATACTGCATGTAGTGAATGCCTTTGCATACAACTGCTCCCATTTCCCACGTGTACGAAAACAATTTGGCAACCTAAATAAAAAAAATATTCAAAGCATAGTTAAATCAACTAATGGTACTATATGTATGTTATAGTCTGTTTCAGAGTTCTTGACGGCATAATATGATACGAAATAAATAAATAAGTCCACTTGTTAGATCCTTATATTTGTGAGATCTAATGTATTCAAATGTATAGTAAATGGAAAAAATAAAAATATAGTCATCTTTTCTACTAAAAGTGTATTCATACTCCAAACTTTGCTAAATTAATAGTTAGTATGGTTTCCTGTTTCTTTTATGCATTTACGAAATTGTCCAGGTATTGCGATCTGAGTGGCCCCGAAGGAGTTTGTTACGCCACTGATTTCAACCGCAACCGTGGACTCCTGTTTTTTTCCTCGGAAATTCACTAGCAGTTGTATAGAAGGTACTTAGGAGAAGAAACCTCATATGATTTTGATCATATAATAATGCAAAAACTTACGGAGGGGATTACATCAAATAATAGAAAAGCAACAGGCAGTCAGATAATGAATCTTTTATAAAGATATTGATTACACTTACCAATGCTATATCGGATATAATCAATGTTGGTGGGAATCAAAAATACCTAGAAACGTAGCAAAGGCCACAAGTTATATCACTATCTAAAAAAGGCGACGCTAACTGCGAAAACTACAGAAATATCAGTATTTTGAATCTTCTTCAAGTTCAATCTTCTATCGAAGGTTGAAAATCATCATGGCTATACCCTATTGCCTGCCGCTCTAAACAGTTCTGCACTACTGCATTCAAACCATTCCCTTAAATTTTAAGCCACTATATTCTTCGTCTTTCCTCATTTCGCTTTCCTCGAATTTTGCCTTACATAATAAGTTGTAACAATGAGTATATTTGCTCTCTCATCACATGTCTTAAGTATTCAAGTTTTCTTCTTTTGATAATCAACAATATGTCAGCTTCATTTCCTATTCCTCCAGTAACTTCTGCGATTGACATTCTTTGAGTCCATAATAAACTTTTTAAGTTTAAGTCTGTTGAATGCAATCTATAAAATATACTCAAAAATTATTAACAATAGATTTAAAATATTACAGAAGTCATTTTAGGTCTACTAACGAAATGTTTTTTATTATAACACAAATGATCGAAAAATGAAGAGAATTTAGAATTTTAAATCATAATTAATTATTTAAAATGTTTCGAACGATTTTATTTCCGATACGACTGTTTCTTGAGTTGCTTATCTCGCTGAAAGTGTAATTAACTTTTGTACATGGCGTATAATTTTAATAAAAATATATTTACAGAATTAATCATACATTTTATCTCTAGCTGCGGTTCCAGTTGAATTCTGTTGAGTTTATGTGTAATTAGCAGCTGAAGCAATTAAATAATGTGTATCCAGTGATAAGTAATACTGTCATCAACTTAATGAACCATAAAGAGCAATTAGTCTGAGTGGCAGTTTAAATCAAATTTACAACAAAAATAACTTTTAAATTCATAAAAGCTTTTTTAATACTTTGAAAATCTTTAAAAGCGTTCTCAACATAGGAATAAAACATTGTATTAATTTAGTATTATGTATTAGAGACTGTCAGAAAGTACTAAGATGCAATAAACCTATAAATTAAACTAAACTATAAAATATAAGGAGGGTTAGATAACACGAAATAACTAAAGTAATTAAAAAATTAACACAATGTGAACGGTGGGAAACATAACCATATATATTGCAAAAGCTCCTCTTTGGTTAATTTCCTGGGAGGTAGATTGCCAACTAACTATCCCTCCATGTTTTAGGTGGTCTTCTGGGAGGTCTTGAACCGGGCGGGATGTTTTCTAGGGCAATTTTTGGGAGTCTATTCTCATCCATTCGTCTTACACGATTGTACCACATCCTCTTACGCTGCCTTCCCCATCTTACAATATCTTGAATTTTGCACTGCTTTCAAACGTTTGTATTTCTCACCCTGTTGTCTCTTCTTGTTTTGCCCACTATTGTTCTTAAGGTTTTCACTTTGGCAAACCTTAACATCTGTTTCGTTTTGTTGGTATCTTCGTGCACTTCTATGCCGTATGTAATGATCGGTCGTATGCAAGTCTTGTAGATACTAATTTTACTATCTGTGCGCGTATACGGATTTGACCAGAGTATCTCCCGCAGACATCCGCAGAACAAACTCGTGTTTTATTTTCTATTAATATATTTAGAATGTTTCCAGGCGAACCTGTCAAAGCCTTCGTCAGATAATGACTCAAATATACATGCCATGTCGAACTTTATAGCTTTCTCTTTTATTTGTTTTATTATGAATACTGCATCTGTTATATACCGCCCTCTTGTAAAACCTTGCTGTTCTTCAGATTAGTGATTTGCCTTTCCAATTTGTCCTTATGAATACTCGTGAAAAGTTTCATCGTTGTATTTAAAAGAGGGTTATTCCTCTGTAGTTTTGTGGGCAAGTTTTTTTATCACAAATGTTGCTTAAACCTCAATGTGAAAGAAACAAATAGAAATAAGTTGATTTATAGTGATTTTCAGAATGGAGATTACATAGTTCTTAACAACTTCCTTGCTTCCATAGACTAGCAGGTATGTATGATTAATGATATTGATGTTGCTACAAAATTATTTCATGAAGTTCTTTCTATAGGAATTGCTTACTTTGTGCCATTGAAGAAATATAGAACTTTTTCCAAAGTGGTTCTCTGCTGATCTTAGAAGGCTGCCTTTGAAGAAAAAACATGTTCACTATATTTATGTTAATAATCGTTCTAATGCTGATTGTTATATGTGTAATTGTAATGCCGTTTGTTATATTGTTTAATAGATCTCTGGAAACCTCTATGTTTCCTTCGTCATGGAAAGAAAGCTATGTTGTTCCTATGTTTAAAAATGGTCAGAAAAACATTGAAAATTATCGTAGCATTTGTATACAATTTGCAATCCCTAAGCTCTTCAACTGTCTTCTCTGATCTCTCTTTAACTATGATCTCAATCACATAATTTACATAGCAAAAGATCCACTGCAACAAACGTGGTTTGCTAATAATCTAATTTATTATCTCATCTGTATGACAGTATCTCAGTAACATCTGGAGTTCCTCAAGGTGATCACACTTCTCCACTTGTTTTTGATATCTTCGTTAACGACATCACTTCCTGTTTCCTAAATAGTAAATATCTAACGTTGGCAGATGACTTGATATTTTGGAAAGTTATAGATAGCCTAAAAGACCAAGCCGTGTTGCAAAATGACTTAGAAAATTGGTGCAATCAGAACAAACTCCACTTAAAATGTAAAGTTTTTCTTGTAAAGTCAATAGAATTGAAACAAACTATATTATTAATAATTAACCACTGATGTACTTGATGTTTCTTCTGATCCTGATTGATGCATATTTATACATAGAAAGAAAAGAAGTATATACTTAATCTTCAGACTTGATCGACGGATTTTAAATGGTTATTCGAGATATCACATGTACAACATATACAACATATACACATAGAACAACTAGAATTATCAAAGAAAATCCTACACATATTCGGTTTTCATAGTTTTTGAATAACCTACAAATGTTTAATTCCTACAAATCTTTTGGCGTCTAATAAATATCAAACGCAACAATTTTCAATGCGTTACCTTGAAGTTAAAGTGCTCTCCGTAGTGTTGATACACTTCATTTATCTAAATATATTTTTCAGAAAAGCTCGCAAGTGTAAATAGCAACAAACAAAATATTTACTTTCTTTTCGAAGCGTTGCGTTGCTACGAAATATGGACATTTATTATACAAAGTCTTTAGGAAAACTTACTTGAACACACAAATCAACCTCGGAATATTTTATATTCAACATGATGCCTTGAATTTTTTGTTTAAATTGATTATCTGTAATGTTTGCGAGATTATGACAAATGAACTGGGCTTAATGTATAATTTATCTGTTTTTACCATTTAAGCATGGATTAATTTAATTGCTAAAGATTTGCTCAATATGCACCAAAGAGTAATGAACGTGATGAAAACAAGCCGTCGTGTTCATTCAAACGAGTACACAATAAAAATATTTTCATCGATTAATATTTGCTATATTAAAGCCCTAAAAACGATCGATAGTGTACATAATACATTCGTATTGGTCTGATGTTTTTGGAGTTATTTTGCTGTTTTTTATGTGTTTGGGGTTTGTTATGGTATTTTTTGGGATTAGACATATATGAGTATACGAATAAATATATACATTAATTCGCAGTTATTATTTATATCTTCAATATCAGTATTTCAAGATAATCCTACAGAGCATAGACAAAATCATTAGAAACAAAAAAGAGAATTAAAGAAATACAAGTGATACAGGGCAACAGCTATGTCAGGGGTTTCCAACTTACAAGTTATTGAGGGCCTAACTAGAAACTTTTGGTCTGGGTGCCATCAGTATTTTAATAATAGGCTATTAGGTTTGTGTAAACAAAACAAATCATTTTATTGCTTTTAAAATTATTTTAATTAGCCTTCAATATTAGATTGCTGTTGCCCAATGGGGCACCATTTATTTGCCTGTAGAATTGATTTTGGAGGATAAAATAAGTGTTGGACATACAATATATTTAATGAGAGATAAGTGGTCTTGCTGGATACTGTATTTAGTTTTCAGAATGTTTGGAGCTTCGTCTATAGGAATGTTTGTAAAGAGTGAAACGGTATTGAAACTTACTAAAATGTACTTACATCCTTTGACGAAGGATGAAGCATTTTCAGCGAGAGGTTGAAGAGTTTTAGCCAAGTACTTGGCCAATGGTTGTGTAGGGCAGTTTTATGTACTGACAATGGGACGTAGACGAATATCGGGTTTGTGAATTTTAGGTACAACCGCACAACTTTAAAATCGCATAAAAATAATCTACATAAAAAGAGACCTTACTGTATATAGATTGATACAAATAAAACGTCAAGCTTGACGACGCTGATGTCACATCGGTTTTGTCATACGTAGTAGTCCTCACGTTAAATATTTTTTC